CAGAGTGCTGTGCTACATTGAAAGGGTTCGTAGAAGTCTTTTTAATGCATTTAACCATTTATGTTGTGGCTTTTTAATGAATTTAACCATTTAAATTTTGGCTTATGGTGTGTGACACACCATAGGAACATCCACTATCCACGTCCCTGATGATCAGCTGTGCCTGATGATATCGTCTCCAATATCTATCTTCAGGAACTTTTGATGCATATTCCTGTGGGGTGCATATATGATGTGCTATTGGTGCATCATCATCATCATTATAACCTTTTCTCAATTATTGGTGCATGATATACTTAAATAATTTCAGGATGCCAAGTTTCTCTTGTTATTTAATCTGATATGCTATTCCACCTACTGTTTAGGAAGATGATAAACTTCCAGATTGTATTCATACAACTATTGATAAAATCTACCATCACTTGATTCTCTTTTGTTATTGCCACTAGAATTGTACAGGATAGTAGTGATACTGAAATGGCTACTTCAAAGATACTAATACATCAACCATATCATCGACAACTCATAGATTGTACCATGCAATAAAGCCCACAAACAATAAAATAGCAACTGTAATATTGGATATTGCCTAACCTTTTTTGAAACAAATAGAGAGTATGAAATATTAGATGGACAAAAAAGCTAAAATTAGTTGTTATTTTTATTTTTTAAACAATTCCTAACTACACCCATTTTAATAACAATAAGAAACCACTTAAGAAGAACATCATCAGCACAGCGCACTTCTGGTTGCACAATGCTTGTAAAAACAAATCCCTAGCTAAGATTGGACTGATTATAGGGGTTCTCTAGAAGGGAATTATTCTTCTAAATGCATACGAGGTGTGTACATCTTCTTTTGGGGGTGAGAACTTGTACACCATGATGTGTGTTTGGGTGTGCACACACGTGCTCTTAATCATTGATAAACATTTTCTTTTCTGCTAAAAGCAGTAATTGATAAACATAAATATAAAAGAAAGTGCTGTTTAAAATTGTATTTTAGTACATACATTAAATTAAAAGGTTTAAACATTTTGTCAATTGCTATTACTTGCTAGGAAATGCCATTTTGATGCGATGATGAAGCAATAGAGTTCCTTGAAAGATATGACAATCACCATGAAATATTTTCTTTCAAACGAGAAGCTTATTTCCCCATAGTGGGAACATGGTACTTTATTATCTTAAAGTAATTCAGTTCCAATCCGTAACACCAACACCAAACCCATGAAGCCCTCCTTCGGCGGGGGGTAATCTCAATTCGTTGTCTTCTATTAGTGTATTCTATTAGTGTAGGCAGTGTAAGTTGTCTTAAGAGAGGTTGAAAGGCTAATTAAGGATCAATTGAGGACTTGGATTTATTGTATTTTTCTTCTGTCATGTTTGCTGCTGAATAATCTCTTTTTCCTTAGATCGTTGTTATTTGAACAATTATTATTTGTTGAAAACAAATGGAACCATATTTGACACGAGCACACTGATATAACTTAAATCTGCTGAGACTCATTAATGTGATCTACTGATGAACATATTTTTCCCAATGTGTAAGTTTTGATTGTTTCTCTTTCTCACATCCTTCGCTTTAAATTTAATGGGAAACAAGATATTCAAACACAAGGCCTGCTACTCACTGGTAGAGAAGGTGATGCTTGAGTTAAATTCTTAACTTGGTAAGAATTTATGAATCTCCTATAGAAATATTTGCATTAGAGGTTGAGGCTCCCTTCCTTTCTTTACAATTGCAGGTCAAGCTGGAGCCATTCGTCTCGGAATAAGCAGAGCTTTGCAAAATTGGGAACCTGGGCTCCGGTCATATCTTAGATCAAGTAGGTTCACCTTGTTAAAGTCCATGATCATGTGTATTTGCATGTGCGTCTTTGGTGGTTTTGCTATTGTTTTCCAATATCTGAGACTCAAAAGTACACCTCTCTGCTAATGCAAACCACTTGAGCATTGGGAGAAGGGCAAATCTCAAGATTCCTATTTGGATGTGTCTGTGCGTGTGTGGGGGAGAGAGAAAGATTCATTAAAAAATCCATTGCAAAATCAACTAAATGATTGGTGTTATTGCACATGCTTGTGTGTGTGGACGTGCAGAGGAACATGCACACACATATACATGTGCACGCGCGTACACACAGAGGGAGCCGGTTCGCCCTGTGCTGATATCTTGTATTTGCATTTTTGCAGCTGGGCTTCTTACCAGAGACCCGCGTGTAGTGGAAAGGAAAAAGCCTGGGAAGGCCAAGGCCAGAAAGAGTTTCCAGTGGGTCAAGCGATGAAGAAAAGAGTATGCAGATTGCCTCGTATTTATCTACCTTCATTTTTCTTTCTCAATCCAATTTTGTAGCCAAAGTATACAATATCATCATGTCATAATAATTAAAATGAAAAAGAAAAAGACATGGTTGTGATTTGACATTTTTGTAGTTCTATCATTTAAAGGAAAAAGTTTAAGTGCGAGGCTCTAAACAATTAAATTAGAGGGCACTTCAAAAATTCCACTAGAAGAGGTTGTTTTGATGCCCAAATATCTGTAAATTGATCATCTTGGCCTCAAGATGCATGGAGATGAGAAAACAATGGATTTCAAGTTTTGGAAATAATGTATTTTGTAATGTATTTTTGGACCGTCATTTTTCAGAATTTTCAAGTTTTCATAGATCTACTCGATCTATACTATTTTTGTAACTTTAAATTTTATAATTAGAGATAAAAACATATTGAGAAATTTACGTACGGACTATATTGGGGGGTCAATTACAAAATAGATTACGGGTGTTACTTACCCCTTGTGGCGTTTTTTTTTCCTAAATTACCATCCTATCTTGTAACACAAACATCGGACGTGTGAGGTTTATCCTGTGTAAAGCAAAACAGTTGTCCTGTGTTTGAAACACTAGACAATTATTTGTTATCCTTAAAACCAACAAGCTTTCTCTCTCTAAAAAATGTGACTGTATTTTTTAAAAAAAAAATCTCTCAACTTTTCTCTCATCTCTCCCCTAACCTCCCTTATCTCCCCTAACATTACAATCGCCAAGTACATCTCTCCCCTAACCTCCCTTCCATCTCTTCTCTCCCCTAACATTACAATCACCAATGCGGAAAAGATACGGAAATAACTGGAATGGGATGAATCACCCATCCTCTTATTAGACTCATCTAACCTTAAAGCGGCCATTAGCCTTGGAAGATGAACCCAGCCCTCAATCTTTACCACAGAAAGACCAACAGAGTTCTGGTTTTTAGGGGTTTTAGGGGTGTGGGATGGAGTTTATTTTGACCCCCGAAATAGAAGTGAAGAGAGTTTTGTGTTTGATACTCTCACTGCCGATGGAAGAATTTCCCAAAGGCAAATAATAGCAGAAGTATCGAGTGATTTTTTTTATTTTAGCAGCCTTTTTGAGGAGACAAATTTTCCTATAAATATGTTGTCTTTTTTGTTATCAATGTAGGGCAAAACGCAGTTGTGGGCTGCTGCTGTTTCTCGTTCAAACCATTTGGAATTCTTGGTTCCTTTGGTAACCAACTTTTAAGGATCGAATTCCTTGACCACGAAGTAAAATAAAATGAAAAGTAAAACAAATCAAGTAAAATTATAGAAATGGTAGAAGATTGAAAACTGCTCTTAGCACTACATTAGAAAAAGCAAAATCAAGGACTCCTTTTCTCTCTCTTCTGTTTGGCAAAGAGCAAAAATAAAGGACTCTCAACGCAGAAAAAGAAAAGAAAGGGTCGAGAGAGATGGATTACAGCAGAGAGATGGTCAGGGGGAAAGAAAGCGTGAGAGAGATTATTTTTTAAAAAAATGCGAAGTCACAATATTTGGAGAAAGAGAGCTTGTTGGATTTGATGATAGCATATAGTTGTCTAGAATTTCAAATACCGGACAATTGTGTTGTTTTACACAGTATAAATTTCATCTGTCCGGTATTTACATTATCGGACATGGGTAACTTGGGGAATAAAACCCTACGAGGGGAGGTGCTGCCTGTAATTTGGGACAACGTGATTCCACTTTATAATTGTCCTTCTCTCAATATGATCCATACATAAATTTTTCAAATATATTTTAAGGCTATCACAAAAATTCCAATATTGAAACCACATTCTCGTCGTTATTTGAAAGAGTGCTTTACTTTGACTGTTCAAAGCTTTATTTACTTTGGCTCTATACAAACCACACCCTTATTTAAATTGGTTGCCGTTGTTGTCGTACTAACTAATTGTGATATCTGAATAGAAGCCATGGCCATAGCACCAAGGATTTTCTATTACAATTATATTTCTGATAAACTTACAATTAACTTTGAAACATGGTTTGGGTTTTGGATATTATAACATTAATAGCGGCCTTAATAATGTGATGCTGCATACAGCTAACAAGTGGGTCAAAAAGAAAACAATCCATATGACAAATAACAACCATTTTTCCATTATAATGGCCACTAGATAGCCGCCTAACGCTTGTGACATCAGCTTCTGCTCTGACTTGAACTTTGGACCATCGATAGTTGGGACCCTAGAGATCTTCAATTTTTGAAGTTCAAATTTTCACTTTTTTATAGAATGTCTCTACATGAATTAAGTTACAATTGCAAAACTTTGGTCATGAAAATCCACTTAAAGTATGTGTTGGGGCTTCAGTCAATGCTGTAGAAAGGCCAGCCCCTTAAATGACTAACATATTTTTCATTTTTAAGATCTGAAAATTCATTTTTTTTTAGAATTTTTACTAAATGAATTAAGATTTGTTTGCAAAAATTGGGTTCTAAAGGCCTTTTTAAAGTGGTTTCCAAGCCTTCAGTGTATGCTTTTGAAATACCAGCCTTCTTCATTTCGTATGTAATTTTTCTTTTTTCACAAAGGAATGGTTTGTATAAGAGTGACGTGCCAAATGGTGTTGAAGGATGTTGTATAGGTACTGAAAATCTTCATGATGGTTTGAAAATTTATTTTAATCTCTAGATAAAATTTTAAAGTTTAAAAAATAATGTAAATTAAGCAGATATATGAATATTAAAAAATCTTGAAAATTGACAGTCTAGATAGTGCATTACAAGATGCACTATTTCTAAGATTTGAAATTTTTTTTTTTTTTTACGCCCATGATCTCAAAGTTGAAATGATCGGATTTGAGGGTCTTTCGGCATTGAAACTTTTTTTTGTTTTTTATAACATGCAATATTTATTAAGATAATGAAGCACCAAACTTCTCCCAGTGAATTTTTAAGGTGCTTTAGTTTAATTTTTTAAGGCCTCTACTTTATATAAACTTTTCCCTTTCTACAATATGGTCATTGTTATTATTTTCCTAGTGTGTTAACGTTGAATTTGGTGGGAATGAAACTCTAGATGTGACCGTACTGTTTCCATGATTTATGAGTATTATAGGGAATCCATGAATAATACACCAAAATAATTTGATTTGCCACCTTTTATATTATTACTTAGGGGAATTATCATATGCAATTCAAGTACGCCATGTTAGGTTGTGTATAAGGCTTTTGGACCATCACTTCAAGTTTAACTGTCATTATCATTATTATTATATTTTTTTTTTCAATTAATTAGAGTCTTCTACACAAATCCTGGTCCGTCATTCTGTTATATTAAAGGTCATACTCTCAGTGTGACCATAAATCATCGTATTTGCAATTAGCTATAATTATCTTTTTTAACACAAGTCCTAGGACGACTTAAAGAAACGTTATCCTTATCTGAGTTAACCAACAGATTTTGAGTGTTGTTTTTAAAAAATCTGAAGTTCCTCATAGACATTCAAGTTTGGACGTTGATTTTTTTTATAGAGAGACGAACTTATATGCGGATCACTCCACCTCGCTTTGCATCTACGGGAGAGCTTAACCCCTATTTCCAAAGAGGGAATCCTCTATTGTTAGCACCCTCAGGCGGTCCAACTTCAAACCAGGCAGTCTAACCAGAACCTGGGCACTTGGGCACTAGCCAATTTGGTTTTGGCCGTTTTGATTGTTTGGCCGGGTATTTTAAAAAAAAAATTAAAAAATACGAGATTTGTTTTCGTGCATTTGAATGTTTTTTATTATTTTGACACAAATTATAAAATGTTTTGGCTTAATACTTAAATTTACATTTTTTTAATCTTTTTTAGAAAATTTTGAAAATAACTTTGACACGTATGTAAAAATTATTATTTTTCACTACTTTTCATCTTGGTGTTTTGTTTAATCATGTTTTATATATGCTTTTCATATTTTTTATATTTATTTATTTATTTTTAACACTTTTTGGACCAGCCAAAACCTGACCGATTGGGCTGGTTTACCGATTACTCAGACCTGGCCCTTAACCGGTTTTTTAGTTTGGTTTACAGCCAAACAACTCAAGGATGCAACAAAATAAAATTGAGAAAATTTTGAAGTCAAGGTGAAATTGGAAGTTTTCTTACAAGAAGAATTTAAATCATGCATCCAAAATGACACTAACCTTTCTAAAAATTTATTGAATTTACGGCAAGGTTACAAATCATCAAGTCATGCCTTACATTGATCATTTTTATTTCATTTTATTCGTGCAGTTCATGAATTTCAAAAAGACCATGATATGCATGTGCTTTGTAAGCAGTGTTTGAGCACTCAGTCGGAGTGCTGAAGAGTCAGGCCTACCATTCCAGGCTCTGCATCCTGGCGTGCCTGAGTAACCTCGAGTTGGGTGTTCCACTCGGGGATAAAAAAAAAAATCAAAAAAAAATCATAAAAATTCTAGAAAATAAAGAATTTATTTATGTTTTCTTTCATTTGACAAAGATTGGAGAGTCTTTTGACTCTAAAAACTTATTTTTGCATTTCCCACCTTTCTTAGATTATTTCAAAAATTTCCCAATCACACGATGATTTTTAAAAAAAAAATTTATATAAAGATGCAACTTTATAATGTAGAACTACAAATGCATCTCAAAAATCCATCGGCTAAAATAATTTTAATGTTAAAAAACCCTTTGATTGATCATCTCGACATCAAAATGTATGACCATGAAAACTAAAAAAAAATTATAATCTTAAGAGATAATGCATTTTACAACATAGTATCTACACCATCCATTTTCAAGATTTTCATATCTATAGATCTACTTGATTTTAACCATTTTTAAAATTTAAAAATTGATAATTAGATATAAAAATATATTTTAAAATAATCCTAAAAACATTTTATATCAAAATTATATACCATGATAAAAAATTTGAAAGTGCACCTTACCTGTACGGATACAACCATACCCCAACTGCACCCTTTTTAAAAATGTACTTTTTATTACTTTTTTAACCATCTTGAAGTGTTTTGCGCAAGGAAAAGTTAAAAGTTGTAACCTTGTGCTATAAAGTAAGGCACACTATCCCACAAAAAACCACAAAAAAATGTATTCCAGCATTGGAGAACCTTTTAATTGATTATCTCAACCTCATGATGCATAGACATGAAGAAGAAAAAATTCCCAACATCATGAAAAAGAGTACATTTTCTAACAAATAATCTGGACCATCCATTTTCAAAATTTTCAAGTGCTTAATGATAAGCTTGATCTATAATATTTTTGAAATTTAAAATTTTATAACCAATTATAAACATTGATTTTCAAGTTATCGTAAAGTATGACACCTGAACGATGTCTCTTACGTAAATTTTAGAGGTGCGCCTTACGTCTACAGTCCAAGGCAACGTGTACCAATGGAGCAATGAAAATGTCTACTTTCTCCTAAATCCAGCCTAAAATTCAAATTGAAGTTATAAACAAAAGAACAGCAAAAAAAAAATGAGCCTGCCTCTCTAATTCAATTGTGGCCTTCTTAAACATCTGACAGTATGATCTCGACATTACAAAAAAGGATCAGATCAACACCATAAGAGAAGACCAGAGAGTTGATTGTGAAATGAGGTTCGTTTTTGGGGCTAAGCTGCATTACCGGGTTTCTCTTTCTTCGGCACCCGATAAGCACCAACCACACAAGCATGGTCTCGTTCGAAGGGCTCTAACGTGACCTGTTCCATTGGTTTGAACTTCTCCTCCTTCAATTTACGTACTTCCTGGACGAAAACAGCTTCTGCGGGTACTGTTGAATCAATGCAATTTGCCTGAAAAGATAAAAATTTAACAGTTTTTCTAACATAGTTTTCCTGGAAATATACGCTCAAGTAAATAGGAAAATATAGCAGGCAAAAGTTGGGAAAATGACTGGAAAGTCTTCCACTTCTACTGGAAATGAACAGGAGACAGCCATTGAAGAAGTTATTGCTAGGTCATTTCCCCAACTTGTGGAATTCTCTCTCTTCATATTATTTTTAATAGAAAGTGATGGTCAGTACCAATTAAAGAAAAAAGGATAGGTATGACATTGACTCTAGAGGTATATAAACTGTCTATGAGAAGAAATAATTGAGGCATTGGACAAGGGTTCTCAAACAATCATCAAGAAACTGTTAAACAAATTTGAGAAACGAAGTGTAATCTTATCTTAACCTCAAGAGACGCACCTTGATTGATATCACAAAATAACCTTCATTTTTCAGGAAATATGAGGCATTGAGCCCCAAAATCCTAGCCTGCATACAAACATAAAATTGTAAGCAGAGCATTTTCAATAAACAAACTGTACTCTTTGAGGTTGTGGGTTCGAACCCATCTAACCAACCAAAAATTCATAAACCACTATACTATAAAGGCAAGATGTTAGATAACATCATTTCTTACTAAAAATATGATAGATAACATTATAGTTTGTCACATGGTGAATTATTTCAAAATCAGTAAGAATAAATATTCTGCTTCCACTACATCTAGAGGTATCAGCAGCATGGGAAGTCTGATTCATAATTTCACCCTTGTAACCGATGCTGATGACACCAATGCCACACAAATTGCACGTAATATTAATTTCTGTCAAAATACTAAACATATTGAAGTTGATCGTCACTACACTTGGGATGCCCTATAGTATAAACAAATTAAATAGAAGACCTATTTATCAAAGCCATGATCTTTTGTTTTTTGATCGACCTCTATCTAGCAGCCACCTAGTCATGAACAATCACCAAGGGGACGTTCAAGGACTTATTTTGAGATATAACTTGGAAATCACCCCTACCCCCACCCCCACCCCACCCCCTCCTTCCCCTTCCCCTCTCCTCTCTCTCTCTCTCTCTCATTTTTGTTGCTCAAAGAATATGACACAAGACATGTCTAACACCAACACCTAGTCCAGAAAATAAGTACTTTACGTAACAAACTAAGGGAAAGGAAATAAATAGAAAATCAATGTTTTCCTCCTTAGCAAGCAAAAAATCAAACTTCACTTAACATAAGATGAAGTTAGACAGCTTTTAGAAACCTAAGGAAGAACGCTATCTTCAAAGACCGAAATGCCACATCAATCACCTCTCTCCCACATGCATTTTACATTATGCAAGCATTGAGGCGTAAAAACCTCATTCACTGGTAAAGGTTAGTGTTGACAATCCAAAATGCAGGGGGGGGAAGAAATATGACAGACAGCATTAGTGTATCACAAAAGAAAAAAAGAAAAGAAAAGTACAAATCAACATTTCAAGCAATTCTTAATGCTCAGATTTAAGTCACAAATATTTTATTATATTAAAGTTAAAATAATAACTAGGCGAATTGACAAATGCTAGCATCAGAAACTCGAGATAACATCATCCAGGATGTCCTGAAGGGGAATCCGAGTAGTTCATCATTTGCATGAAGAGTGAATTACAAAGAAATGAAGGAAAAAAAATTCCTCTAATCAGAGAAAGGTTAGAGTGCATAATGCATTTTACATTATGCAAGCATTGAGGCATAGAAAAACTCATTCACTGGTTGAGGAAGGTTAGTGTAGACAAATCCAAAATGAGGGCAAAAAAAGTAAATATGACAGACAGATCGAAGGAAAAGGGAAAGAAAAGTACAATCAACATTTCAAGCAATTCTAAATGCTCAGATTTAAAATTATTCAGAAGTTGAAATAAAAAAGGCTGATTGACAAATGGTACATCAGCAACTCGAGATAACATCATCCAGGATGTCCTGAAGGGGAATCTGAGTATTTCATCATTTGCATGAAGAGTGAATTACAAAGAAATGAAGAAAAAAAAAAATCCTCTAATCAGAGAAACCAGAAAGCACAAGAAGCGTCCCATAGATATTTTCTTACTAAAGATCAGTCCCAAGTAAGAAAGCTATTTAGTATAAAAACTGAAGGGGAGGTTGAAGCAGTGATATAATTAGCCAAATATAAATTAGCAAAGTCATAGCAAGTGATATAAATTAGCCAAATATTATCATAAGAACAAAAAAATATATTGCAAAACTGTATCATACCTGAAGGGGAATTTATCATGCCATCATCCAATAAAACATAAGCGAAAATACTATTAAAATAAAACAGATAAGACAAATATTATTATGTTATAACAGAGTATATCAAGTTATGGAACATTAGCTGAACCAATGATCCAGTATCAAAGGAATATGTAATCACATAAAAGAGGTTAACAGAACATCAAGTTACACCGTAAACCAGCATTTTCTATAACCAGTGGGTACACAAGTATCAAATGATACACTTATAGGACCTGTTTGGCTCCTTGGGAAAAAATTTCTTGAAAAGAATTTCTTGAAAATTCTAAGAAGATAGATGATTCAGGTTTTGGAGAAGCGAAAGAGGGTATGGGATTTGATGAATATGAGGGGGGAGAGAGAGACAGACAGGATTGGGTTGAAGACCCACTTCCAGAAAATAAACTTTCCTACCTATTTAGTAGGAAGATCTTATTCCCAAAAATGAGGTAAGGGGATGAGGGGAAGATTTCTTCCCCAATTTTGGCATTAATCACTGGGAATCATAGGAGTTGGCTAATTTCCGAGGAAGAATACCCTGAAAAATAATTAAAGCTTAAAGATCATTATCGTTATCATCACATCATCTGAGCCTTATCCCAACAATATGGGGTCGGCCGCATAAAGCTTAGACAACTAAGACAATTCAAGTTACTAATAATATGTGTAATAAAAAAAGTTAGACCTTGAAAAAAAGGTTATGATAAGCTTAAATGTAAGCCAGAACGAGGAATAAAGTATATGCACGTTTATTAATTCATTTAGTTCAGGACCTTCATGTACAAAGAAAGTTAAGATGTGGAAACACAAATAACAAACTATCGTTGACATAGAAGTTTTAATACATATCAAATACTTTCTTCCTTAAGGAAAGCATCATCATCCTAAGTTCCTAACATCATTCACAAGCTACAACACATCAGTAAAGATTATCCATGTCATTGTTTACACAAGCCCTAACCAAACACTAGATTAAACCTTTAAAAAGATGAAGGCAATTATCAGTACAGAGACCCTTCAGTTATGATGCGACACTTACCAAAAGGAAAAAAAAAAAGGGAACATACCTGGTCTGGTTGAGCAACATCAGAAAATATGACATCAACCATGCCAACCAACATACGATATCTAGATGGATGTCTAGCGTCCTCTATGATCGGTATGACATTTGTTCGCTTCTTAGCCATGTTGACTAAGTCTCTACCACTTCGATTGGAAAATTCAACAGCATAGACAATTCCATTCTATTCCCACCCCCAAAGAAAAAAGAGCGCATTTCAATACACAAAGTTCAATAAGAAGCCTGAGTCATTGAAGCAACTATCACAAGATATAGCAAGTATGAATTTCAGTATTTTATAACAGTTATCAGCTTACCGGTCCAACTAAATCAGAAACATGAGAGACTGTTGTCCCAGAAGCAGCTCCAAGGTAAAGAACACGGGATCCAGGAGACTGAAGAAAACACAAAATAAAAACACACAAAAGATGAAACTATTAACAAGCAAGCTAAAAGGCAATAGAACCTGAATAAGAACAAAATAACAAAGAAGGAGCCATTGAAAAACAGTCCCCTCCCACCCTCCCAGCTGACAGTTAAATCTTCTATCTGTACACCCCACCATAATAAAAAAGATAAGAATTTTTCCCAAAAAATAAGTAGATCGATGAAAACCGTACAATCCATATATTGTCGACACCACTGAGTATTGCTGCTGCCAGTTTTGACCTGAATGGGTTCCACACTCTATATTCAACTTTTGTTCCATCTTCATTCTGGATTTCAAATAAATCAAACAATTGATAATTTTTTTAATCATATGAAAGACAAAAGTAAACAAAAGACCTCAACTCTTTCAGCAGATGATTGGAGATTTAGTATTACATGGTCCCTAACACAAATGTGGTGTCAGGCATGCGTCTCAAGTGTCTAGTTCTTCAGCCTAAAAACTCGACATGGCCCAAAACTTCCGTACAATTAGCTTTTCATAAATTAATATTTTTTATGAAGAATTATATAATGTGAAGATTAAGAAAAATTTAAAAATTAAAAATGCTACATGCTTTAAAAGTATAAAAATATTAATTTTTCCAGATCCCGTCTTCAAAAGATATTTTGGCATATTCTCCAACAAAAAATTATGATAGCATATAGAAATAATCTATTTTTACTACTTATTCCATAAATTTGTCAAAGAAAGAAAATTAGTCATTAATACATTAGCAAATTAGAATACTTATAATTTTCTACTCTCTAATTAGCAGCTAACAAATCCTAAATAAAACAACTAAAAATAAAAGGAAAAAAAAATATCATGTTTCAATACTCAAATGTAAATATATAAGTTTTTGTTTTTTGGAACTATCATTACTACTAGCTTAATTTTGAAAGTTAACGCATATAAATATCATAGAGCTACCATGCTTAACTTAAATATATCAAATCTGAAAATATTAGTTTAAGAAGAAATAAATAAATGTTTATAAATTTTTGTTACGTGGAGTTCTTTGATTTTTTTTTTTAATCTGTAATTCTCATGGAACAAAGGGTACCGTAGAATGTATTTCAATCCTTTAAATATCCCTCCCTGCATCTCTCCCTCTCTCATGAAACAAAGGCTACCAGTCCGTCCACTTGTACTTCTTTTTTTAACCTGTGATTTTTTTATAATAAATACACATTATTTTTAGATGCCAAATGTACTATTGCATGCATAGGGAAATACAACAAGTATATGGAAAGTTAAAACCCCACATGATTCATGCCTATTCTTTTACCTTTGTGGGCAGCCATACTAGTCCCCTCTTTAAATGCCAAATGTATTATCTTATACGAAGGGAAATATAAAAAGCGCTATGGAAAAGTAAAAGCCTATGTGACTCGTGCATGCTTTTTATTTTTCTCTATGTCTTTCTCTGCAAGAAGCCAACTCTAGCCACGTGATCCCACCTTGAATATGAAATGAAATGATATACCTTAAATAATAACCGACATTTTTATTGCAAACAACATGGATACCGTGTCTCACAAACTAGACATTCAATAAATATGGTCAACCTCTCCTTGGAAATGGTAAACATGCCGGTAAAAGTGCCAATGCCGCCCCCTGTTGACACATGTCGAAATGCGACACAAGAGGAAGAGGGAAGTGCCTAGGTAATACTAGTAGAAATGCCAGCAAAAAGGCCATGTTAATGGGCAATTCCACACTAATACACCAACAAGGGAAGCCAAAAAGGGCGCACACATTTCAACAAATGGAAGTGGTGTGCCAAAACTTCCCTTAGGAAGAATATATCCATGGCGCATAGCTTGAAAACAATGTCTCCATGGTGCATAGCTTGATAACATATCCAATCTACTCTACAAGATAATAATACTATAATGCTCATGACTGGAAACTCCAAGGTCATGAGATTCATCACAGTCAAAGAAATGATTGGACACTGACAGAAAGTAGAAAATGGTCGGCTCCATTCTCTCTTCATCATCCAACCATCAATGAGAAGGTGATGACCATGGTCATCATTAAGTGATTTGTGTTGTGCACAGTGCACAGCACACAAGATTAGACACTGACAGATAGTAGAAAATGGTGGGCTCCATTCTCTCTTCATATCCAACCATCAATGAGAAGGTGATGACCATCATGACCATGGACCTTTGATGGTCATAAGAACAACAGTACACTTCCTACAAAACTTACCATGATTGAAACATACTTGATAAATAATCACCCACCTAACACCAAACTTCAAAGGAAACACACACACATGCACGCCCACAAAAACACACACATGTACGCTCAAACATCACATATATACATATATAAATATGGGTATGCATAATCTATGTTGTTTGTCCACTTCCCTTTTCCTCTTGTGTCATGTGTCAACACATGCCAATACTTGGACCATGACAACACAATTTAGAAACTTTGACCATGTGTTTGCCATGTTGGAGGAAAGTTGGTCCCATTAGACACTTTTTATGGACTGTCCCATTTGTGATTTGTCAATGTCTTTTTGCAATAAAAATATCCATCATTATTTAAGGTGAATCGATTAAATTCACATTCTCACATGGTTAGAGTTGTCTTCTCATAGAAAAAAGATAATAGAAAAATAAAAAAGTATACATGAGTCACATGGTGTTTCAACTTTCCATATACTTTGTATATTTCCCTATGTATAAGATAGTACATTTGGCATTTAAAGAGGGGATTAGTAGGCACGAGTCATATGGGGTTTCAACTTTTCATATACCTTTTGCACCTCCCCATGTATAGAATAGTACATTTGGCATCGAGATATAATGCATATTGAAAAAAAAAAAATTGGAAATAAAACCTAAGAAATACCAACCTTATTCAATTAAACAAATATAGAGAAAGATTTAAATAGTGGAAGCACATTCAATGGTAGCCTTCATTCTATGATAACTGAACATAACAAAAAATATCAAATAACTACACATAACAATAATTTATTAGCAACATTTTATTTATTTCTTCTTAAACCAATCTTTTCATTTTTATACATATAATTAAAACAATAACTATATGTATGTGTAATAACTTCAAAATGAAGCCAGTAGTTAATGTCTTAACCATAAATTCAAAAAACAAAACTTATATATATACATTGAATATTGAACGCACAATGTTTTCCCTTTTATTTTTGTTCTCCTTTTATTTTAAATTTTTAATTGAGATTTGTGAGCGGCTAACCATAAACCACATAATGAACATAATCAAAGGTAACTAACAGACAATAAAATTGAATTATAAATATTCTTGTTAGCCATAATATTGTCACTGAGTTTCTTTTGACAACTTTGTTCCATTATTGAAACATATATTATTTCTATATATTATCATAAATTTTTTGTTAAAGCCTATGTCAAAATGTCTTTTAAAGACGGATCTAGACTACACAGCATTTTCTAGTTTTTTAAATTTTTATCTCAGCAGTACACAAATGTTTACAAAAAATTATATTATATCTAAAGATTTATGAAAAGCTACTTGAATAGACATGTGCGGCCTTGTCTTGCTTTTAGGCAAAAGTACTAGACTCAAATTTCACCCATAAAAATCACAAGGTGGGGTGCAGGAGAGACTACAGCTGTTGAGACACATGCTAGACACAACAACTATGCCTTACTACAGATAAAATATAGTCATATGTTTATGTTATGAGTATTCACCTGAACAGCAATTCTTTTCTCACCATAGACCGACTCTCCAGTGACCATGTTCTTTGTAACCAAGGCATCTTCCTTACCCTTGGCAATAAAGACCCCGTCATGGCGATGAGGCTCGACCACAACTTTAAGGCCTCCTCTCATTGAGCCTCGACCACGTCCCCCACGTCCACCACGGGCTCCGCCACCCCGCCCCCGACCACCACGGTCCCCCCCAGGACCACCCCTCCCTCTACCTCTCCCACCGCCTCCATCACCACGACCACGAAATCCGCCACCACCACCACGTCCTCCACCTGGAAAACAAAAATTAGATAACAAGAGATTAGGGTTTACAAATATTGCATAGTGCAGTTAACACATTCAAAAAATATATAAAACATTGCATAGTGAACCTTTTTTTTTTTTGACAGTTATTTACAGAATGAAACTTGAGCTATCAAGTTAAGCAGAAAAACATTATATGTTTTTGAGAAAAGGTTAACTGAACAGAAAAAAACTATATTCTAAAGGAATATGAAGAACATAATAGTTATTTCTTACTTTAGCAATCATAGTTCTCCCATAGGGCCTGGATCATATTGCACCTTTACATCAAGCGAAGTCCTGAAAACCATAACATCCATTATAACTTCTAAGAGTTATAACCACTGTTATGGTAAATAACTAAATACCGCCAAATGACCAAATAGCTCGTGATAGTTGAAAGTAATGTTCACCATAAACTATATGTATGGTTATAACAATAGAGTGGCCTCTAAACCATTACGGTTGGTGAAATTGTTTTATAATTCCGCCATCGAGTTAAAGGCTGAACACAGTTACAACAGACAAATAATTCATGCAATCATTTTTTTCACCTCTTGGAATTAAAAACCATTTTTTTCCCAGTATCCAAGCAATAGGTATTTTTTCTATAAAAGAGCAAGATTCCTGACAGTTTGGACAGCCCCAACTATGATGTGATTATGGCCTAGAACACTACTCGTGCGGAAACAATGGTCAGTTCTAGAAAACGGAGGCAAAAGTGTTTAGAGTTCCGAAGAATGGCCATTGAGTACTGGATGAGAAATTTTGTAATTTACCTTCACATTATGTTTTATGTCATAAAGCAATTGGAACTTGGAAGCAATGAGTCAAAAAACGGTCCGCCCCCAAGACCCTATGCACCGGCGGACTTTTTAGATACCCAAGAGGCCTAGGCATAGGTTTTTTTTTTTAACCAAAAGGTTCAAATAGGTTATGGGGTTATTTACAACCCCAAAGTTAAAAGAACAATTCCATAAACCCTCAATCTCTTAGTTATAAATCAAAAGTATTTTTTGTAGTTTGAATAATCTTTCTAAACTCTTTTTTCACTTACTATGGAATATGGAGAGTTGAGACTATTATTGATACTTCTAAATTTTGTGTGGTTTGAATTTTGAACAAGTTTATTACGATATGTCATATATTTCTATATAAAAAGTATGTTACAACATTTTCAAATGCAGTAAATCACAAAATTGACACAAATATATGCATATATATTATATATCTATAGAATTTGTATTACATGGCCCCCAAGGCTCTGGGCGCCAGGCCAGCCGCCTAACGTTTTTTGAAACCTTGCTTGGAAGGCTAGCTACATTGATTTTTAGTTTCCAAAAACCCTCCACCAGCAGAATTCAAAGAAAAAATTGACTTCTTCACATGATTCCAAAAGTAAATGACTGAGAAAACAGTGCCTTTTCTCAAATTTCATAAAGATGAGAACTTATAAGGAAATATCTCATTAGTTCTTCAGCTTCAATATTTTTATTTTGGCACTTCAACAATCTTTTGAAGAGCTTCTTCCCACTTTTTCCATCCTCTCACTTCTTCCCAAACTTATGAAAAGCTAAGTTTACATCGAATCTCCAAAAACAATATCCCTCTACTACCATGCCAACTTATAGCCAACACAAAAATCAACTAAATAGCATTACCAGGCATCATTTTACTCGATAAAAAAAAATAGACTCATGCAAAAGAAAAATTTATATCTCACCAATCAGTTCCACAAAGTTAACATAATGAATACAAAATGGAAACCAATAATTATCCATTTAATATGTTCAGGAATACAGACGTTATTAGATCAAAGATAAGAAAAACAATAAAAAATAATCCACCTTTAAGAGATTTAGTGAAAACAAGTATCGAATACTGCAGTTTCTTTATCGCATTTCACTTTTTAAAAATTATTATAACTCAAGAAGAAAAACAAACACGAAAAAGATCATCACCTCTTGGGGGCCTCATTGTGTAAAACAAAGTGCAGAACCGGTGTCGAGGTTAGAGAGACTGATACTACTCCAATTTACAGCAAAACCACGGAAAAGGGCTTCCTAAAAGACGCATTTTTAGGTTTAGGGTTTTAGGGCTTTTATAGGAGAAGAACTCCGAGTTGGGGTTTATACAAGGGAGACAGCCTTACAGTGAGGGGAAATGATAACGTGGTCCGGCCGGCTCACTGAAATTGGTGCTCCACGAGGGATATTTTAGGGAAAGGGGGATACAAGGAAATCAATTACCGTGGTCGCAATTAATTTTGACCATTGGATGTAAAATTGGGTGGCTGAATTAATTTTAATGACCAACCTCAAAGTTTAAAATAAATTTTCTCAAATTTTGTGACACACCCAAGCTTTGAGATCTTGTATACAATCCCATAAAAAAATATAGAGAACATTTATTTTTGGTACAAGAATATGAGAGTTATTCTTGTCCACTGGATTCAAATTCTATAACTAAGGCAAATGGTCTTGTATTATATTTCAAGAGAAGAGCCAAAAAGAAATTGATTTGAAGCTCAAAGAAACTGATGGTTTAGAATTGGAATTAAAATTGCTAGAATTTGAGCCATTTGTGTGCTCCTTTTCCGTTCGTAATAATGTTTTAGGGTTGAAATAAAAATGTTACATGTCTCCTGCACCCCACTTATGATTTTGATGGTTGAAATTTGGGGATCAAGTACAAGGTTTTCAATGAAATTAATAATCTTTTAAATAGAATAAAATCTCTCTTTAAGTGAAAGTACATCAAAAATATTTACTTCTAAATTTGAATAGATATAAAGTATTTATTAAAAGAAAATATTTATTTCCAAATATATATTATATTCCAAATTAAATTACAAATGAATATATATAAGCGAGTTCATTAGAATACACCTAACTTTTCAATATACCCTTTTTCAACTATTTCAACCCAAGCTCATGAGTATTTTGATGATATTTTAAAATTAAATAAAAAATGTGGGTTGATCTCATACATCGGTTTTAATAAATTTATTGTATATATACTATAAGAAGAGAATAATTAAATTGGATTAGAATGTAGGTACCCTAAACTCTGATAGGGCTCCTAAATAGTAGTTACTCTACCCTAAATTTCCTTTCTCCATTAGTGCCTTACTCGAGTTAAATGTCACATGTCCCTTCATTATATATATAAAAAACATTGATCAGATGTAGATGAGAAATAGTCTTTGAAATTTAGAAGGATGGAGGTGGAAGAGAACGAAGGTGGTGAGGATGCTCTTGAAGCAGGTGGAGATGTTGTGGTTTCTATCAGGTTGGATCTATCAGGTGGGCTATTGTCAGATGTGAAGTTTCCAGTGGTGGGTTCTTTCTCTCCCCCATCTAATAATATCTTCGGTCTCTCTTATTGGGCTAGAAGGAGTTGGGGTTTATCTTATGCTCCAAAGGTTAAAATCATGGGGGACAAGATCATCTTCTTTCTTCGTTCTAAGGAGGAAGCAGTTTGGGTGTTGAAGAATCATTTTGTCCGTATTAGAGGCAAGCTTTTGTCTCTTGACCTATGGAAACCTGTGTCTCGTCATTCTTATTTATGGAAAGAAAGTCTTTGGATCAGGTTGTCAGGTATTCCCTTCTATGCTTGGTCTATGATGATTGTAAGTTGGCTAATAAGTGTGGGGAGTTTTGTGATATCGATAAAGTTGCTTTTGATGGAGTTGACTTGTGATTTGTTTGTATCTGTAACTGGAAATTGTGTGGGACTTTCATTCGTAAGTCCTTGAGATTGCAAGTGGGACAAGAGTCATTTTTAATTACAGTATTGCAAGAATCGAAGGATTTGTGCAGTGGCCGTATTGGCTTAAAGAGGATTGTACCTCAAGTGTTAGAGGAGGTAGGATAGCAAAAAGTTGTTCGACATCTTAAAGCTGCACCGGTCCAGGCTATTCCAGACTCTGTTTCTCTGCCATCGAATGGGCTCCGGATTTTTCAGGACATGAAAGAGGGAGTTTCAAATTTTAAAAATACGCGAAAGGTGGATTCTTGTGGGTCGTTTAACTGATTGTTTGGTTGGGTTGTCATCGTACATTGCTAGAAAAGTTGAGGGATCACAAGCTGTCACGAATTGTGCACGACCACCAAAGCCAGCAGTTTTGCGTGCACAATGTGACGTCGAAATGGCGGAAGGTGTATCTCTGAGCCACATTTGCTGTCCAATCTTTGAGGGTTGAGATGACGAGGGAGGGGAAGCAATGTGGCAGTTCGTACCATTGTTCTGTCGGCATGCGCGAAGGTTGGAGTCTTCTTCTCCAAGCTTTCAGAGATTACTCTTAAGGCGGTGGATAAAACTCTTTTGAGGGTTAAGGTCCTCGTCGTTGTTTTGTTACTTGCAGGTTATCGCCTCCGATCGATGGTTGCCCTCCAGTTCGTGCACATTCTGCTAGGTATCATGTATCCCCTATGGCATCGTCGAGCAACAAGGAAGTAGCGCCCATCCCATAGGCCGTCCTTTGACCCTCTTATTATCAATCCACTGGCCTTGGTGGTGGTGGATGAGGCGATCCTATTGCAGTGATGGAAGAGGAAACCTTGGAGTTTCCACTTGATGTTGTGTTAGAAGATGGAGGGGCTAAGGGGCCTGAGCTTGCAATGGTGGAAGCTAAAGCGAATGCGCCCCTTAATGTGCTTCATGTTGAAGACCAGCCACTACTCCTGCATCTGACAGCGGCATCTACTGGGGATTCTGTCTCGGCGCCTGATGTGATTTCTTCTCCTTTGCTATCTCCTAAGGGCATTGTTCATGATCAGTGTCTATTGTTCATGATAGTGGGATGGATTTTGATGTGTCCATTGGGGTTGTGTTCAAGGACATTGTTGAGAAACTTAGAGTGGAGAATGCAGGGCATAAAGACATATCTGATGGGAAGGTGAATATATGTGATGCAAGGAAGAAGGATGTATGTGCTGGTGAGATGTCCGCTTCTAAGGAGGTGGTTAGAAAAAAGAAGAAGAAAGAATTTGATGAAGGGCACTATATCATCTGCTCGGTTATTGGCTTGGGGTTATCGTCCTAGTATTGCTCCAGGAATTGTCATTCATGATGAACAGGTGATTGAAGTTAGTTCCTCTCCTTCCTTGTCATCTTTGGAAGAAGCTTTTGATGAGGCTATGGAGGATACGCTGATGCAGGAAGAGACTTATTTTGGCATAGGCAGGGATGGGTTAGGCTCTTCCCTCTCTAAACTTTTTTAATGTTAGTGCTTTCTTGTAATGTAAGAGGTTTGGGTGACCTCAGACGTAAGAGAGACGTCATTTTTTTTATTTGTAAGTATAAGCCTTATGTGCTTATTCTACAAGAAACTAAACTTCCCAATCCCAATTTGTCTGGGGCCAGGGAGGTGTGGGGTCCTGGAGCAGTAGACTTTGTTGGTTTAGATTCAGTTGGGGCCTTTGGGGGATTGTGGGATCCTTCGGTTTTGCTTTCTTTTACTTTGGTTAAAAAATAAATTTTTTTGCTTATGGGCTTTGTGGGTCCAGAGGCTGATTTTCAGTTGGGTTTGATGAATGTTTACGATCCCCATACTGATGCTCAGAAGAAAAGTTTCATTACTGATATGTCTGATGTTACTTCTCAATTTGATTATGATTATCCTATATGCATTGGGGGGGGGAGGGGGAGGATTTTAATTCCACTAGGTAGCCAGAATAGAGTTCTCATGGTGGGGGGATTACTGCTGTTATGCGCCTTTTTAACCATTTTATATAGTCTCGTGCTTTGATTGATCTGCCCATTTCTCGCACGACTTTTACTTGGACTATTGGAAGTATCTCTAACTTGCCAATGTCCAAGATTGGCAGGTTTACGGTGTCTGGAGAGTGATTTGAATTTTTTTCCTTAGCTTCTGTCAAAGTTGTCTTTATACTTTTTTCTGATTATACTCTTATTTTGCTATCTTCTAAAGTTTGGTTGGGGGTCATAAACCTTTCAGGATGGAAATAAGGTGGCTACAGGAAAAGGAAGTGGTTAAGTTAATAAGAAGTAATTGGGAGAATTATATTTCCTTTAGTTCTTTAGACTTCCAAATACATAAGCTCATGAATATTAAACATAAGCTTATTGATTGGAAAAGAGTTAAGTACTTTTATGTCAAAAAGAAGATTGACGTTGTTTTGAAATGTATAGAGGAGGTTGATGAAGCTATGCAATAGTTTGGGGTCTGGTCTGAGGAGCTAGCTATGTCAAGAAGTGTCAAAATGAATGAGCTTCAAGAGCTTAGAATAGTGGAAGAGGTGTATTGAAAACAAAGATCTAGAGTTAAATGGCTGAATGAGCGAGATTTGAATACCAAATTCTGTCACGCCATAGCTAATGCTCAAAGACGTCAAAATGATGTTTCTGTTCTCTTAATTCAGGGAGTGGATTCTGATAATATTGAAGGTATGTCCCAAGCTATTATTAGTCACTTCCAAGATGCTTTCTTCTCAAAAGTCAAAGGCACCCCCAGGCTTAGTAGGGTGGGATTTAAAGTCCTTCCCTCTAATTTGATTCCTATATTGGATAGGGATGTCTCTTTTGAAGAGTTAAAAAATGCTGTTTTTGCTCTCCTGGGCGATAAAGTCCCTGGTCCTGATGATTCCCTCTAATCTTTTTTCAAAAGTTTTGGAATTTGATCAGTGGTGAGCTCTTGGAAATGACTAGGTGATTCCTTAGGAGATGACACCTTTTTAAAGCAGTGAACTCCACCTTTATTGCTCTGATCCCTAAAAAGTTAATTATAGCCAATTTGGAAGACATCAAACTCAGTAGCATGTTGACGAACCTCTACAAAATAGTGGTTAAGGTTTTGGCTGAACTCTTGAAGGTGGTTCTACCAGTCATTATTTATGGTCCCCAATTTGCCTTCATCAAATATAAGTTGATTTCTGACAGTGTTTTGATTGCACAAAAGTGTATCCATTCACAAATTCTTTGTGGAGGGCCTAGAGTGGGGTCAAACTAGACATGGAAAAGGCTTATGATAGGCTGGAGTGAAATATTTTATCAGAGATAATGAAGAACATGAGTTTTAGCGATAAATGGAGACAATGGATATTTGGCTGCCTATCCTCAGCCCATATATCTATTTTG